GATTTGAGCTGCCACCTGGAATTGAGGTGGACAACGAGTAAACCCGATAAAGGAAACACCTTTCAGAATGTACAACAGTTTTTGTGTGAAAACACAATTTTGAGATATCAGAATTTTACATTTTTTTTTCTAAGTACCTGGAGGGAGAGCTATGTATTCCGACGAGTTAGATGAAACTCGTAATCTAAAGATTCAGATGCGTTGCCGGATTCGGCAACATGATTTTGAAATTTCTGGTTTTCTGTTATGAAATAGGAGCAGAATGTGCAGTTCTTTTGAGTTTAAACATCATAAAATCACAGCAACTCAATTAGAATCATGAGGGTCTTCAGTGGCAGTTTTCTCTGGAAAGTGATAAAGTATATGGTCTTGTATAAGTTTTTAATGGATCGAATGTTCACGAACAAAACCTTATTTGAGTTTTTTTTTTTTTTTTNNNTTTTTTTTTTTTTTTATATGTAAATTTTTGTATAAAATTATAAATATAGAATAAAAATATATATTTATTTAAAAAAATTATTTTCAACCTTGAACGAACTAAAATCTATATGTAAAATAAGGTTATTATCAAATTATTTGAACACCAACGAGCTTAAACTTTGACAAACAAATAAATAAACAGGCTCAAATATTTATTAGTAGTTCTGATAATAAACGAACGAAAACAAACAACCTTCGAATATAGTAGTTGTTCTGATAATAAACGAACGAAAACAAACAACCTTCGAATATAATCAAGCACCGGTCGAGCATTCAGTTCAATTACAACACTACTCACGCATGGAAAATGCTACATTAATATAATTTTTCCATATAGAAGTTGATATATAATTGCTGTATGTAAGAATATGACCTGTTAATTTTAAAATTGATTTGATATATAACTATATTTTATCAGATTTTATGACATCTATTGTACCTACACACTTAATGCATGCAACAAAAGGCAGACTTGGATTGTTACACGGTAACCAAACTGACCTAACTCACGCTAAAAATGTCAATATGGTGGGAGCAAAGGCCCGCATATTACATCTCATCTGGTTGGCAAATAACTTCAATAAATAATAGTAATTGGTATATTAGTGTATTAAATCTACTGTTTATTGGTGATGAATATTATTTTAAATATAAGATACTAATATAGTTCTTAATAATATGAAAAAAAAATATTTAATTTAATTTCACTTCTTTTCCCAAAATGATAAAGATATTATATAAAAGCGCACAAATGTGCAAAAGTACAACCACTAGTTGAATACAAACAACCAATAACTGAATAGGCCGAGATGACAGGTCAAAAGACCGCCTAGAACCTACCACAACGAGGTAATAATCTAGAAACACAAAATACACAACGACACTAAAAACTCCCGAGAGGAGAATGAGAAAGAAAAAGAAAAATAAACGACCCCAACATGATAATGCCCTAGTGTACGATCCCAACAGGATAATAAGGTTACACATGGGCTAAACAAAGTCAACGACCCAAACCTAAAACACAAACACAAACACAGACACAGACGACACAAAACAAGAACAACAAAATAACTAAAAATAACAAACATAGCCCTTCCCCAGCATACGAACTGGCCCGACCAGCAGTGAACAATTGACACAAGAAAGATTCCAAGCCCGAGAATCCACTAACGAAACTGCACAACCGCCTATACAATAGCAAAAACCTAGCCCCGAACCAATCCCCGAATCGACCCGTCTCCAACCGAGAGAAAAATGACCAGCCCCCACACCAGCCCCACACTGAACCCGTCTAACACCACTGGACGAGATCGAGAGAACCAGGTCCCCCGCTGCCTAACACCACTAGCCGAACAAGGGAAGGTGAGGGTGGCTAGGTCCTCAACCTCGACCGCCACAATTGGAAACGCCGCAGCAACCGGAGTCCCGCCCCACCCGACACCACCACAGACCTCCGTCGACCAGAGGCCCAGGCCCCACCAGAAGGCGAAGCCCGCCGGAAAAGGCAGGGCCCTACAATCGCTAACAAGGTGAAGATTGAGGGGCTTACTGCCACAAATCGGAGCTCCACCGGCGACTGAGCGGAAGACCCCAATCGCAGGCCAAACGCCGACCTCGAGGGACGCCACCACCAACCAGAACCCCTTTGACAACAAAGGACCAGACCGCCGATCGCAGACCATCACAACAACATCGCGCTACGTCAAAGGTGGGTCGAGTGGTCAAGGACGACCCCTAGATGTGGCTTCGCCGTCGCCGAGAAAGGCAATTCGACCGAAAATTGGAGGGTGCGACTAGCGGATTTGGGGGATAGGATTTTTTGCCGTTTCTTTACTTTTGTTTGCAACAATTTATTATTATTATTATTATTATTATTATTATTATTATTATTATTATTATTATGCGGATTTTATTTCAGTTTAGATATCCTACATTATAAATGCATTAATAAACTTCATAAAATATTGCTAATTATCTTTCTTTTTGTTCTAAAAAGAGAATCAATAGTGGTTCCCCATTTACCTCCTGGATGGCTCGAACTCGTGACCTATAAGTCCCAATTGAATAGTGCTACCAACCGAACTACCTGTTCTTGTCTTGCTAATTATCTTTATTTCACAAGAAATGAGTAGGATTATTGAGAATAATTCTCTTGCGTTGTTGAAGGGGCATAACCGGAATTACAGGTCCACAAATGAGTTGTTTAGGGCCTGGCTCGACATATAAAATATAATGGACTAAATAATTTTTTAACTCAAAATTTAATTTAAATTTAACTCAAGTTAAATCTCATTATCAATTTAACTAAATAATATCAAATAATTACACTCACATATTGCATCAATTTTATTTCGCTATTAATTTACTCATTTAGATTTTACCACAAACACTTTTAATCATACATCTCTTATTTTAAAACCTTACATCAATCTAAATCATTATATTTTAGATATTATTTGAATAAAAAAGTTCAATATATCGTTAAAATCAAGCTCAATCAATTTCTTTATCAAAACTAAATCATTTTACCCTATAAATTCAATCAAAATAACTTACATTCAAATAGTCTCCTAACAACTCGCACCAAAGCATCCTTTCACTACTTTCTCTATCTAAAATATTCTAATCTAAAAATATAATTAGCTAAATTGCATAATTTATACTCTAAATAAAGGAAAATGCAAAAGTCCCGCAATAGGAATAATACAAGTGTGCAAAGTGTAATATGTGTATGCATAATAAAATCATTTATTTAATTTTTAATTATATTATTTAATTTTTTTGGTAGCCAGCCACGGTATCCGTAGCTATGTCCCGACTAATCTGTTGGTCGACCCGGGTCGCACACCTGCAGTGGTGGGTGAGTCTCGCAACAAGGGTTTTCTGCATCCACAAGGATTAGAACCCGAGACTTTGCTTAAGGGACCAAGCTGCTTACCACTTGAGCCAACCCTGTTGGTTTATTTAATTTTAATTATACACTAGTTATCATCCTGTGCACATGCACAGATGTACATAAAATATTATAAATAATATATGTCAATTTAATATTAAAATTATATATGATAAACATATCACATTTTCAAGATATGTGAATTTAATATTAAAATTCTAGATAATAAATATGTCACATTTTCAAAATATGTGAATTTAATATTAAAATTCTAGATAATGGACATACCACATTTTCAAGATTTAATCATTAGTAAAAAGAAAATAATATTTATATAAATTATTTGAGTACATATGAATCACTATATGATTAAAAAAATTGTGGGTAATGTATTTTTTATAATTTGGAAGGACATGGTCAAATAATTTACTTGAAAATTTTACTATTATTATTATTATTATTATTATTATTATTATAACAACGACAATTATTTATAATATTTTAATTTTTTTTACTATACTATTAAAACTATTTACTAATTATTTCTAAAGAAAATTGTTTCATGAAATACAAAATAATAATAATAATAATAATAATAATAATAATAATAATAATAATAATAATAATATCATTCATAAAACCTAATTAAGTGTAATCATATATTTATAAAACCTAATTAATAAAACCTTATTTATTTTCCCTTCAAAAGAAGTTACAAAATTTGTCATTCATAATTTGCCTTTAACATTAATACATCCTATTAAGTGTAATCATGTATTTTTTTGCAATTATATTATATAGTAGTTAATGTTATTACCAACTCATAATATTTCACACTAAATATAAATTACATACGTATAAACAATTTTATTGTGTCAAGATATTATTATTATTATTATTATTATTATTATTATTATTATAGTAGTAGTAGTTAATACTATTTTTTTGCTATTATATTAATAATAGTTAATGCTATTAATTTTTTTACATGATTACACTTAATAGGGTGTATTAATGTGAAAGACAAAATATGAATGACAAAATTTGTAACTTCTTTTAGAGGGAAAATAAATGAGGTTTTATTAATTAGGTTTTATTTATGAGGTTTTATTTAATGATTAACTAGCAATTATATATATATATAGATAAGGGTGCCTTTTGTAACACATTCAATTTTAGAGACTAAATTGTTATTTCGAATGCTTAATCACTAAGTACACTGGCAATTAAAATATAAAATAGATATAAGATTTACACCTCGATTTACTTTCTCTCTCCCCCTCTCTCTCTCTCTAGAATTTCTCTACAGAGAAGCTCCGCCTAGGGTTTGATCGACTGAGAGAGAAAGGGGAAATAGAAATGGGACAGCAATCGTTGATCTACAGCTTCGTGGCCCGGGGGACGGTGGTCCTTGCAGAGTACACTGAGTTCACCGGGAATTTCACCGGAATCGCCGGACAGTGCCTCCAGAAACTCCCCGCCACCAACAACAAGTTCACCTACAACTGCGACGGCCACACCTTCAACTACCTCGTCGAGGATGGATTTAGTGAGTGGCGCCTTTTCGTTGATCTGTTTTGATCTGTCATTTTGATTCAATTTTTGTATCCGACTGTTGGATATAGGTTTTCGTAGATTCTTTTTCATGTGCTGGAAGATTAGATTTGAAATGAACGAGACTGCCTTTTTGCTGGTTGTGTTCAGAATAAACTGTTACTGGATTTAGATCGTTTTTCGAATTTAGAGATGTTGAAGTCGATGAACTAGATGACTGCCGATGAAATGCTGTGATCTCCAAAAAAATTGAGTTGCAAATGCCTGAGAAGAGTCTATATTCTTGGCAATATTTAATTTGCTAGTGGCCCAAATAAACCCATCTGATATAGATAGTGTGGATTTTTTTTTTTTGTGTGGGGTTAGTCTAAATTTGGAAGTATGTGAATTGTCTGGTTACTTAAAAAAACAGAACCTGGCTGAAATTATTTGGATATACTTCAAAGGCCTTTGTAGTACTTCCTGCAGGTGTTACCATAGTGTGCCATTGTTAGATCTAATTGATTTTTTTGCTTATGTGAAATGGTCTGTGATGTGACCACCAAGTTTATGTGCATTTTATTTAATTATAATTCATGTCATTTGTTGTCTATCAAGTTCATTGCATAATTTTGTGTACATTAACGTAAGATAAGCCCCGTTCGTTTTTTTGCTAACAGTCTCTGGAATGTGAATGAAACATCTAAAATTTTGGGGGATAGTCTAATTGTATAATTTGATGTAATGGTTTCCATTGCTCTGATTTTACCAGTTTTTGATAATATCCTGTGATACACGTCATACACTCATGCTACATAGTCCTGTATGCACTGCTATTTCTTCTAGATTTCATATTTCTTATCCTATCAGGGATCAAAACTGTACCTTCCATAGTCACATTTGGTTTCACATGTGGGTGATAGAGTATATGATCAAAGGAACCTATCATGCTTGTGCAAGAATGTTCATTAACTTAACATTCTGCTCCATCAAATTTGGTTTCACATGTGGGTGATAGAGTATATGATCAAAGGAACCTATCATGCTTGTGCAAGAATGTTCATTAACTTAACATTCTGCTCCATCAATTTCATTTTGGTGGATAATGAAATACATTTACGAGTGGCAGCTTATTGTGTTGTGGCTGTCGAATCTGTTGGAAGACAAATTCCAATAGCATTTCTGGAGCGGATTAAAGAGGATTTTACCAAGAAATATAGTGGTGGAAAGGCGGCTACAGCTGTTGCCAATAGCCTGAATAGAGAATTTGGGTAATCATGTCATTGACTTTCTAACCCTTTTTTCCCTCCACTTTTCCCATGTTACGTGCTGATTCATAATTCCCTTTTACATTAACCTGTTTGACTTGATTATCACGTCGTAGGCCGAAATTGAAGGAGCAAATGCAATACTGTGTGGATCATCCAGAGGAGGTCAGCAAACTTGCAAAAGTGAAAGCTCAGGTCTCAGAAGTCAAAGGGGTGATGATGGAAAACATTGAAAAGGTAAAACATTTTCATTATGCCTTTAGAGTGATGAACTATAGAAATGGTGTCTCCTGCACTGAGAATTTCTCCTTACAGGTTCTTGATCGTGGAGAGAAAATTGAGCTTTTGGTGGATAAAACCGAGAATCTTCGTTCTCAGGTCTGTATATTGAATTTTGCTTATGCTATAACCTGGTTCTTGTAAAGTTGTGAGTCTCTGGTGCGACAATGGGAAGTCAAATTTTACCTGCTTGCTATAGTGTTGCTTCATATTTCAGATATTAATTTGGTCCGTTAAGATCTGGAATTTTCATTGACATGAAGGGGAATTATGATAACTCAAAATGTAGCAGTCAAATTAAGATGTATGGTGTTTTTTAAAGAAAACAATCTCAGTGCCGAGATGTTATGTTTAACCCCTCAGGAATTATATCAATCCATATGGATGCTATGGCCTTAGCAATTTCCAAATCAATGGTCACAATTGATGTTCCTCTTTACACTTGTTCCCTGATATGGTTGTGTTCGTTCTATGACTAATATCCCGTTACTGGCTGATACCTTAGAATCTAATTGCAGTCCTTTGTTTATTTCACAGTAACCAGTTTCTCTTGATTTTTTTCCCTTCAAAATATAATGCCTTCTTGTGGATATTTTATTCACTTGAATTATATGTCATTATTCTTCTGCTGCTTCCATTCACTTGTTTATGTTTATTTTAATATTTTTTTTTCAAACTTTTTTTTTTTGTTATGTAGCTACTATTTAGGTTATTTTGAAATTGCATTCTTGTACTTTAATGAATAAATAAACGCTTCATATGAAATGCCTTTCACGTAATGATGAGGTTTTTGTATGTTGTCAAATTTGTTGTAGGCGCAAGATTTCAGGACTCAAGGAACCAAGATGAGGAGAAAGATGTGGTTGCAGAATATGAAGATAAAGCTGATTGTCTTGGGCATTATCATTGCTCTGATCCTTATCATAGTTTTATCAGTTTGCGGTGGGTTCAAGTGTCACTAAGTGTGGGTGTGTCCTACTGGAGGTTCTCCTTGCCCTGATCCTTATATCATAGTTTTCAGTTGCACTCAACATATGAGTAGCTTTTGTTCCTACAAATTCTTTTTGCTGACTCTTTGTTTTGGCCCTCACTGTAAACTGTACTTTTGTAAGACGCGGTTGTATAGTTTGTATTTCTGGGATCTCCAAACATATTAGGCATTGAAGTTTATGATGTTTTTGATTCCCAATTATTTATCGAAAACTAGTTTGGCCGATGAGTTGGTGCAGTTATTTATCATGGGTTTCTTATTTGATGGGATGTGAACAGTGTTGCCAAAGGTTCGAAAATTTGACAGGAACATGTCTGAGACCTTTGCTGCCCGGAATTATTGTTTAACCGGGTCTCAGTTTATGATTCGGCAAGATTAGAAAAGGCAATCAGAAAGTAAATGGAGCCTTTTGATTTGTTCACAAATCAAGCAAAATCCCAATGATGATATGAGAACTAAAGGTATGTGATGCTATGAACATCTCAGTCTTATTTTTATTATTATTATTTTTTTTTTTTGGAATTATGTAATTTATCATTGAGCTCTGAATTGACAATTAAACCTGTCTTATGTGACAGTGACCTAAATTGATCAAATTCATTTATTTTAAATACAATGTGCATTTTGCACAGACAACAATTTTTACTAGTAATCCAATTTCTTTTTTAATTTTTACATATTCTTACATTGGACCCCACCTTCTCTACAAAACAAACAAACAAAGAAAAAAACAAAAGAGGGAACCCTAATAAATGGACCATTTATTCACTATATCACCCCTTCTGTAAGACAAGTTCCAAGCACCATATACATGAGATCTAAGTGATAGCTCTTATAAGTTCTTAACAAACCAACATGAGAGAAGGTTAAATCACCATATACATCAACAAGCCAACTGATCTCTAAACTGAGAAATCTCTTCAAAAATGGGCAGCCTTCTTGACCTGGCAGGGGCCCATTCCCTAATCACACGTTCGAGTGCCTCGGCAAAATCCTCTTCGAAACTCACTACGCCCATAAAACTTGGCAGAGACGAGTTGTTTCCATCCTGCAAATCCAATTCCAACAACAACTCATCGGCCCGGCTTCTACTTTTCAAGTCATCCGAGCCCGGAAGCTTGAGCTGCAGCACATCCTGAAGAACCAAGCGGGCCTCATCATAACGGGCCTGCTTGACGAGGCAATGACACAGGTTTAGGGCCTTGTTGGCATCTGGGTCGATCATCTGGGCCTTACGGTACACAGCCTCTGCTGCTAGGAAATTGGATTTCAGCATATAAGCCCAAGCCAAGTTCCCCTGTTTGGGAGTGAGTTAATCATATCAGTTTTTGCCAATTTTGGCCCAGTTACAAGGCTAGATGAATCTGTGCTTCCATAAATACATTTTTCTTACCAATATTCTAGAAGTTTCTTGTTTGACAGAGACCTGAAACTTCTTCCCATGAGAACGCGCAGTTTTCGTGGGCCTCCCGTTGAACGCCTCCCCTAGATATATCAGCTTGAGCTTATGCTTTAACAGCGCTATTTGTTCGTCAATTTTCCCGCATTTCTACAAATAACGAACAAGTCCACAGCATTATTGAAAAAAGTCAGAGTCTTGTGGCAAGAAAGTGAATCGAAAAGGAAAAGAAAGAGGAACTACGAAATAACCTTATACAAATCGATGAGCACGTTGTCAAGTGATTCTTGGGCTGTCTTAGGACAAAAACCTCGGAAAGACTTGATTGCCTCTATTGCCTCTTCAGCTCGGTTAAGTTGCTTCATGACAACAGCCATGTCCTTGAGAGCGCTTTCGACTCTATCCCCGGCATTTATAGCTTTCCAAAACCATACGATTGCTGCCTCCGGATCCTTCTCGACTAGCTAGAGACGACGGAAGAAACCAAACTAGAAAAAGTTAGACATTTATCTGAAAATAATGTGTCTTAGCTACTTTTTTTTTTTTTTTAGCTACAATCCACAAACAAATAAATACTTTGTATACGAATAAATACATTCGACATAATTCATCAAGCTGAAACACCAGAATGAAGATCCAGTTTTGGGTGCTTAATATGGTGCAATTTGGATAAAATACATGCCAATTTTGAAGAACTGAAACTACATTTCAATCATATATTTCTTGAATAACACTTTCTTTTATCATCTATTTGTGTACTAGTGGATGTCGGGGCACTCAGAAAAGGACAGTGAGTATGAATTAAAGACAAAATACCCCCATCTGCCCCAAAATACCCCTTCTCATTACCAAAGCATGGAAATTCTTAAGATGAGTTTACATTTGGACAACTTTTTGTGCTAAAACTACAAAACATTATTTTAAGACAAATGGGTAGTTAACATTATTATCATCATCTTAGCATTCTTTTTTTTTTTAAGAAAGTTACAACGAGTCGACCCGCCTAACGATTACATCACCTCACATAAGAATTTATGGTGTCTGAATTGCATCACAAAACTTACATTTTCCCGTTACGGAGGTTTGTAACCGTTAGATCAGTTAGATCAACTATCTCTGATGGTTAATTTAACAGTTACATACCCCGACTCGAGTGGTAATAAATTAGCAAAATTGAAACTAAAACCCCAAGCCCATTGTTCTGTGAAATCAAAAGCAGCATGATTACAAATAAAATTATGTAAGAAAAGATATATATAGTTTTATTATTACCTGAGCATGTTTAGCTCTGACATAAGGCCCATCACCACAAGGAACCTTGTGAATTACATGAAACAGATCATTTTCTTTCTTCTCACCGCTGTATTTCTTAAACCCACTTTCCTTTTTTTTTTTTTTTTTTTTAATTTTCAACTCTGAAAAAATGAGTACTTAATTTCAGGCTTTCAGCTTCTTGGGAAAGAAGAAACATTTTTTTATTTTTTTTTATTTTTTATTTTTTATTTTTTTTGTAGCAAACAAAATGGAAATGCGGATGAGATTATTATTAATTCATTTATAAACTCCATCTTTTTCCCTTATGCACAAGATAGGATAGGGACATTCATTCTAACAGAGGTGGATGAACCTGGACTCTGGGACGTCCGGATTCATTCTTGTGTGATATGAGGGTCTTTTTTTCCAAGGGCAAGGGCACGTATCTTGCGGCACGTGAGTGGTTTTGTTGACCAATTGAGTGCATAATTATCTTCACTATTAGATATCACGTGCACATGCACATATGTGCATCAAATATATGTGCATCAAATATTAGTAAGTAATATTTGAGAATTTAATATTAAAATTCTAGATAATGGACATATTATATTTTTAAAAATTTGATCATTAGAAAAAATAAATTAACGATTTTATTATTATGAACAATTGTTTATTATCATTAGATAATAACAGTTTGATTATTATTAAAAAAGTTGTTTATAAGCTTCTAAAGTTGTTTGACTATGCTATTAAAACAATTTACTAATTATTTTTAAAAAAAAATTCATGAGATACAAAAGAAAAAGATAATATTGATGTTAATATAAATAAATTGAAACAATTGCTTATAATTATGTAATTTATATTTATTCTGAATTATTATTAGTTGGTATTAGCAATAACTATTATATAATATAATAGAAAAATACAATGATTACACTTAATAGGATGTGTTA